GTATAGGGTTCAGGGGTTCAGGGTTTTAGTGTTCAGGTTTGAGAGTTTAGGGTTTTGGGTGAAAGGGTTCAGGGCTTGTTAGTGTTCAGAGTTTAGGGTTAAGGGTTCAGGGTTTTTGGTGTTCAGGCTTTAACCCCAACGGCCGGGTCCATGTACTCACATAGCATATACTTTGGCCGTAAAGTAGTGCCTATATTTGCAGTCAAAGTATATACTATTGGGGTACATGGACCCTTTAGGGTAAGGTTGAGGGTTTAGGGGTCGACGGGGCTTAGGGCCTAAACCTTTCCTGTGGACTCTATAGCCTAAAGTTTTCAGGGCATCCATTGCAAAAATGTGGTCTTCAAGCCATGATTGCTGTAGTGTTTCGAAGGTGCTGTAGACAGGTCCTGCAACAGTTTCAGGCGGGTTTCTTCGAAGTCTCGGCCCCCACTATTAAACAAGCCCGCCCCCTCTCCCCTCCGCCCAAATCACTAACACAGCACAACTCGAAACTTAATATCAGTTGTTGGAGGCTTTCTCTACTCACTCTTGCGCGATCTTGCTCTTGCTCTTGCTCTAGCTGCTTCCTTGCTCCTTCTCTTGCTCTTGCTCCTGCTACTGCTCTTGCTGTTGCTCCCGCTCTTACTGACGATCTTGCTCTTGCTCTTTCTCCTGCTTGCCCTTGCTATAGCCCCTGAGCCTGCTCTTGGTCTTACTCCTTCTCTCGCACCTGCTCCTGCTCCTGAACCCTACCCCCCCTAATCCAAATCAGCATCAATACGGCCAGGATGTTTTCCGGAAAACATTGTCGTTTTTGAGGAGGTGTTTAAGTAATGGCACCAGCACTATTTCTACTACTACCACTACTGCTGCTATGCTAGTAATCGTACCTAGACGCCCGACTACTGGTCCTCAGAATGCACCTCTTACACATTCCACGGAGCAGGATCACAGTCCTGGACTGGTTGAGCTCAGGACATCGGGACATTCTAGTGTTGACGGTGTGTGGCCTGCTTCTCATACCTCACTTTGGGTTTGGGGTGTAGGGTCCTGCCAGATGGTAGAGCCTGAACCGAGTTCCTGGTCTAGGGTATCAGACCCCAAACCCATGCCCCACACCTGTCATTGGTCGTTGCGTTTTCATCGGGGTAATCATCCCACGACTCTTTGCTATCTCTTTTCGGGGTCTTGGCATCATAGCACACCTTTATAATTATAATACCCTGATAGAAACCCCTGAAGGTCTTAAAGGAAGGCCGTCTAAAATGCAACATCCACGACACCTCCTCCAACTGCCCGCGGGCAGTGTTGGCACAGCGTGGGCTCACGCGCACGGGCGCCGGAGCTGATTGCGGCTGCCTTATTTGGGGTTCCAGAACGGTGGGATCCTAAACTTAGGATTCTAGATTGGGGTCCTCTATCTTTTGAAACCCTATAAGCGCTTAACCCTAAAGCCTAAGCCCTATGGCCGCCATAGCTACAGCCCCACCAAACGTCCAAGCCACTGGAAAGGGCTGTTCGGACTCTGCTCTTGCGACCTCTGCTTCGGCTGTGGCGACGACTGCACTGCAGGCGCAGGCGAATAGCCCAAGGAAGCCAGGGCACCATACCTTTCTCCAAGGACGTCCACGGACTCTCGTGCGAATTTGCCCTCTTGAACGTAAGGATCAGGAGACTTGGTGACTAGGTAATTACGCCCAGAGCTTTTTTCGGAATTGCGAGAGGTTCATAGCAGCAGCGGTCTTTTCCTGTGGTCTTTGCATATTAAGACCTTATAACATGGTTCTGGGGTCTATAGTAAGGTTCCTTTCTATCGGAACTCTGCTTAACACGCAGAATTGAGGGGTCAGTGGCAAGTGGCTGTGTAAATCGAAGGACACAGTCAGCTTCACCCTTTATCATACTGCACGCAAGTTTCGACGGGGAACCCCTCAAGAAAACAATAACATCTTCGAATGCAGTGACGAGTTTTTGAACCCCCCTCCCTCCCGCCAACCCAAAACGAGAAGACCAACACGTTGCTAACTCACTGGATGAAGTGCAAGCTGTCACTTCTTCGGCTGCCCTCCAGCTGCATCAGCTTGTGGCGAGCCTTGCCAGCGGAGTGTTCTGGAATCATCTTTCTTCACAGGTTGGTGCTTGTGAAACCCTAAACCTCAGAACCCTAAACCTCAGAACCCTAAACCCTAAACCCTACACCCTAAACCCTAAACCCTAAACCCTAAACCCTAAACCCTACACCCTACACCCTAAACCCCTAAACCACAAACCCTGAACTAACCTGAAAAGGGGCATCAGACCAAAGGTGTCAGGACTGTCAAGCTGGCCTTGTTCAGGTCCAAGCGAAGCTGTGCACACTCCTCTTTTAGCCTCACTTCGTTTAGGGTTTAGGGTTTAGGGTTTAGGGTTTAGGGTTTAGGGTCAACTTTTAGCCTCACTTCGCCAGCATCATAGGGGATCGGCAGGTGAACCGAGATTAGGGCACTTGTTAAGCCGTACCTTTTCCCAGTTTCATAGGGGGACCTAGCATCGAAAAGTAAACGAGCATGACAGGCTCAGGGCTTTGGGTTTTGGGTTTTAGCGCAGGATCTAGGCTGCAGGAAGTATACTAACCCCACAAAGGATCAAGTTTAATACGGCTAAGTAGCTTCACCGTGTAGCGGATCTTCTGCTTCTTGTTCACATGGCCGATGAGCTGCGCATGTCTATCCGCCACTTTTCCAAGATCGCCCTCGAAAAGAGCCACGCTCTCCAGCAAGCTGGAGTTGTCAACATGCAGTTGGTCCTTAGGGGTTTAGGGGTTTAGGGCTTAGGGGTTTAGGGTTTAGGGTTTAGGGTTTAGGGGTTTAGGGTTTAGGAGTTGTCAACATGCAGTTGGTCCTTCGTTCTTGTTCAACAACTTGCTCTGATTGACCGCAACCGGGATATTTAACCAAATCACGAGCTTGTCCTTTAGGGTAATTATCCCTAACCCTCCAGGTGCCTACTATATAGGGCCCTAGGGGCTCTAGTACCCCTATGTAGTAGGTACCTGGGGGATTAGGGAAACTTAAAGTTAAACAATCATACCCTAAACCCCTAAACCCCTA